CGTCTCCCCCGGACGCTACACTGCCTCGCATTGGTCTGCAGCCAAGAGGGTCCTCCGCTATCTACAAGCCACCAAGTCTCACATCCTCACTCTTGGTGGTACCTCTCCAGTCAAGCTCGAGGGATACACAGACTCCTCATGGGCCGATGATCAGACTGACAGACGCTCCTCCCAAGGGTACTGCTTCACCCTTGGTAGCGGAGTCATCAGCTGGCGCTCCACTCGGTCCTCTGCAGTCTCCCTGTCGTCCTGCGAGGCCGAGCTCTACGCGGGGCACAATGGCTGCTCAAGAGGCACGCTGGCTCTCCTTTCTCCTCGCTGAGTTAGGCTACCCCCAGCAGTCGCCCACCCTGTGGTGTGACAACCAGAGTGCCATTCATCTCACCAAGGATCCTGTGTTCCACTCTCGCACCAAGCACATCGAACTTCGTCATTTCTTCATCGGAGATCTTGTTCAGAGTGACCAGCTGACGGTACGGTACATCGCCTCAGATTGCAACCTTGCCGACCTCTTTACCAAGGCTCTCGGCAAGGCTGACCACCATCGCCTTCTCCGTTCCATAGGGCTATGTGCTCCTTGACCGGGTTTGCAGTCTATGGGGGTCTGTTAGAAATAGACTGCAAATACCACTTTTGTATTTGTACTTTTATATCCTAGTTTAGGTTGTGAATGTTCTAGTGGGTTGGGGTGTACTCACAAATCCCAACCTCACCCAATTGTGATCCTCACAATCTCCAATTACCCAATTGGAGATTCCGGAGATCCCAATGGGGATTCCCTCCAATTCCCCCTTCATCCATTCTCTCTCACCTTGCCATGTACTTATAGAGCCTTGGGCTCCTTACCTAATCAATCAATTCAACTCTATTCCTTACAGACAGGCTACTTTAATATGTAACAGACGTACCTGCTCGCTAATGTACCTGTTGACTCTATCGCGCTATGTGCCTTAAATGACACTTAAGAGACGCGACTGTTCGCGTAACTGAAACGACAGTCCTCATGACGAGCGCTATTTGCTGACGTCATCCTACGGACTTATCTTCTACAGTAGGATTCGACACTATCTATCGATAATCGACTTACAGAAATGCTAAGTATGAATTATATCACAACATAGACAATATAGGTTTGTGCCATAGAGGGTACAACACTTTAGGCTATATACCCATGTACTCTCTCCTTCTAACCACCTCTTCAATTCTGATATGGTATCATGAGTAGGTAGGTCCCACCGCCCGCCCACGCTTCCGCCCTAGGTCCTAGCCGCCCATCCCCCCCTAACCGCGCCGTTCCTAATCGCCCCCGTACCCCTTCCTAGCTGCCCCGTGCGCCCGTTCTAGCCAGCCCCCCCCCTCGCGCCTGCTCTAACTGGCCCTAGCACCCATTCCCGCCGGCCCTCGCGCCCGTCATAGCCGGCCTTCGCGCCCGCTCTTGCCGGCCCCCGCGCCCGTCCTAGCCGGCCTTCGCGCCCATTCCCGCCAGCCCCTCGCGCCTGTTCCTAGCCGGCCCGCGCGCCCGTTTCAGCCGCCCCTCGTGCCCGTTCTAGCCGGCCAACCCCTCGCGCCCGTTCTAGCCGGCCCCTCGTGCCCGTTCCCGCCATCCCCTCGCACCCATTCCTAGCCGGCCCTCGCGCCCGTTCCAGCCGGCCCCTCGCGCCCGTTCCTAGCCGGCCCCGCGCGCCCATTCCTAGCCGGCCCTCGCGCCCGTCCTAGCCGGCCCTCGCGCCCGTTCCTCACCGGCCCTTGCGCCCCTTCCTAGCCGGCCCTTGCGCCCGTTCCAGCCGGCCCTCGCGCCCGTTCTAGCTGGCCCTTGCGCTCGTTCTAGCTGGCCCTTCCGCTCGTTCCAGCCGGCCCTCGCGCCCCTTCTAGCCGCCATCGCTTCCGCCCTTCACCGGCCCTCGTGCCCGGTCCAGCTGGCCCCACTTGCGCCTGTTCCTAGTCGGCCCTCTGCGTCAGCCGTCCCGCCGCCGACCCCAGCGTCCATTGGGTAGCTGCGCGCCATACAGTACCGCACTGCACCGCCCCTCACCATTCGGTACCGCACTGCACCGCACAGCACCGCACTGCACCGCACAGCGCCGCACTGCACCGCGCTGCACCGCACAGCACCGCCCTGCACCGCTCTGTACCGCTCCGCACTGCACTGCCCGCTGCTGCATCGCTCCTGATGGCAGACTCCGTGCTCCACTTCGACGCAGAGGGTCAGCCGCTCGATTTTGACACGTATGGTCGACCTCCGCCGTCATCTCACTGGTCAGCGGCAGGATGGCCACTCCCTGGCGGTCCACCTTGACAGTACGCTTCCCTGTCCTGACACCCCTGCTGCCCTGCCCGCTGACCCCTCGTCCGCTGACCGTGAGTCCGCTGCAGCTGCTGCCCTTGCCCGCTCAGTCTGGTTGTCGCGTGACGCCATAGCGCAGCTTTCGATCAGTCATGCCCTCCCACTGTCTGAGCGCCCTCACTTTCAGTCAGTCACGGCTGCGCAGGAGTTCCTAAATGCTATTGTCAAGCGCTATTCCACCCCGCCCGCTGCCTCTGTAGGTCGCTTGATCCTGCCCATGCTCTTTCCTGACCTTGCGTCTTTCCCAACTGTCGCTGACCTAGCCGCTCACCTGCGCACGATAGACGCAACATGGCGCTCTGCCTGCACTGAGACCCAACTTAGAGCCTTTCATCCGCCCCTCTGCTCTACCCTTTACCTGCTTGCCACCCGCCTCCTTGACCGTCTTCCTACTGCCCGCGATCGCTTTCTTAGCATCCACTCCAGTGACCTCACCCTCACTGACTTTGTCGACACCTTGTCTACCATAGAGACCCGCCAGCGCTCTATCGCCCAGATCAGCGGTACTGTGCCGATCCCTAACTTTCAGGGTTGTGCCCCCGCTCAGTGCACCTTCTCAGACGGTTCCGCTGCTGTGGCCGAGACCCAGCTGCAGTGCAGTTCCGTCCGGGGAAGGGTCGCCGCCCCAAGGCTGGACGCGGCGGTGGGGGTGGTGGCTCAGGTGGAGGTGGTGGTGGAGTCGGGTTGTCCGGTGGTAGGGCGGACGAGGGGACCGTGCCTGGTGCAGCCGAGCAGCCGTCCCAGCAGCCGCAGGCATCGCAGCCGGTCCAGCACCAGCCGCAGCAGCAGCCCCAGCACTAGCCGCAGCAGCAGCAACAGCCGCAGCAGTTGCAGCAGCAGCAACAGCCGCAGCAGTTGCAGCAGCAGCAGCAGCACCAGCAGCAGAGGCGGGCGGGTGGCCTTCTGCCCAGGTGGCCTGGCGCTGGTGGTGGCGGTGGACGTGGTGGTCGCCCACGTGGTGTCCCTCCGGTTGGCAGTTCGGGTGACGGGCCGTGTCAGTACCAGCTCCAGACCGGTCCTCACCGCGGCTCCGTTTGGGGTAAGATCGTGTTGGTGCATATTCGTTTGCACGTCATCCTGTCGTCTGTTCGCCTCATTTCATTTGCATGTGTTTCGTGTGCTCTGTTGTTTGTGTGGTTTGTTGGGTTTGCATGTCTTTGCATGATCATCTTGTGCTCATGCAAATGTGCTTGGATTGTGCATGACATCGAGCACAGGCCAACGAGCCAAGAATTGTTGAAATCGGAGCACATATGAAGAAGTTCCGAAGAAACGTTTGATGGATTGTTACAACTTATTGGAAGTCCTTGGAAGCTGCTACACCAAGGTTGGAGAGCCCTATAACGAGAAGAGACCAGCATGTGTGGGACTTTTGTCCTCACCTTCCAGCTACAGCATTTGGGGTCTGGAGGCCAGCCTGGCGCAGTGTGAATTTGGCTGGCCAGGCTGGTTGAACCTGAGGATGGAGAGTCAAGAAATTGACTCTTGTCATCTTCTTGACCAAGGGCCTTCAGGGTCCTTCCCTTTCATCCTTACCTTCCTACCCCACCTTCCAAACTGTGCTTCAATGTTTTTCCATCATGTCTTTGAACTTGTAACCTTCAATGATTGTGACTCAGAGGTCTGTCAACTTCTCATAAGGCACGATACTCCCCAGTGCGCCAAATGGCATAGCTCACTCGGTAGGCCACGGAATCGAGTGACTCAACTTGCATTGGAAAAGGCTGATGCTGCAAGCAACAACATATCCAATTTTTACAGAATTTCATTGATTCAATCTTTGGATATAGCTTTTCGAAGATCGCGAGTTTTCTGGGTGCCATAACAAAGTGCTGCAGAAATTTCTAAGGACTTGTCAATCTTGTTGGTTAGAGAAGGTTATAAGCAGATGATTCAATGGCTCCTTGGAAATCTCTGCAGCACTTCGTTATGACGCCTAGAAAACTTGCGACCGTCGAAAGCTATATCCAAAACTTAAATCGGTGAAACGACCTGAAAACCGGATATGTTGTAGCTTGTCGCGTCAGCTTTCCAATGAATGTTGAATCACTCGATTCCGTAGCTTAACGAGCGAGCTATGGCGTTTGGCGCACTGGGGGGTAATCTGCCCTAGGAGAAATTGACAGTCCTCAGAGTCACTATAATTCAAGCTTACAAGTTCAGAGACATGATGGAAAAGGCATTGAAGCACAGTTGGAAGGTGGGGTAGGAAGGGAAGGATGAAAGGGAAGGACCCTGGAGGCCCATGGTTCAGAGCATGACAAGAGTCAAAGTCTTGACTCCCCATCCTCAGGTTCAGCCAGTCTGGCAAGACAAAATTCACACTGTGCCAGGTTGGCCTCCAAACCCCAAATGCTGCAGCTGCAAGGTGGGGAAAAAAGTCCCATACATGCTGGTCCCTCGTCGTTATAGGGCTCTCCAACTTTGGTGTAGCAGCGGACGAGGACTTCCAATGAGTTGTAACAAATCCATCAAACATTTCTTCGTAACTTCTTCATATGTGCTCCGATTCCAACAATTCTTGGCTCGTTGGAATGTGCTCGATGTCATGCACAATCCAAGCACATCTGCACAAGCACAAGATGAACATGCAAAGACATGCAAACCCAACAAACCATACAAACAATATAGCACACAAAACACATGCAAACAAATGATGCGAACAGACGACAGGATGACGTGCAAACGAATATGCACCAACACGCTCCCCCTCAGACTGTCGGCTTGTTTCGCCGTCTCTAGTTCAAGGACATTCCCGCCATCCTCGCACAGCGCCAGTGTGGCTCTTCAGCTACCCGCTTGGTAAGAAAGTCGGCTGGCTGTTGCTGAGTTTTCACGTAGATCGGATCCAGTGTCCCAAGCTTCACCTCCTTCCGCAGCCAATGCCACTTGATCCTCATGTGCTTGTTCAACCCATGAAGAACTGCATTGCGTGCAATGGCAATGGCTCATTTGCTGTCACTAAACAGAGGTGTCGCACAAGTCTGTTCATAGCCGATCTCCTTCAAGAGCCTCCTTAGCCAGATGATTTCTTTTGCCGCATGAAACATCGCCATGTACTCAGATTGCACTGAAGATAGTGCCATCTCAGACTGCTTCTTGGACCTCCAACTTACAAGCCCACCTCCTACCATGCAGATGTATCCCCCTACTGATGATGAATCCTCATGCTCAGAAGCCCATGTGGCATCAGCAAAACAGGAAAGGAACACCTTTCCTTCTCCGAGCTGCTCCCCCTTCTCTTTGAGGACTTCAACTCCTTTTTGACTGAGTTGAGCAGAGGCTGAATACTGTACTCCCACTGTAGGGTATGACTTGAGGTAGCACACCACTCTCTCCGCTGCACCATACTGCTCTTCTGTTGGATTTTGCACTACTCGAGCCAGCTGTCCCACAGCAAAGCTGATGTCAGGCCGAGTATGCACAGCAGCGTAGAGTAGGCTCCCGACCATGGATTGGAATTGCCTCTGGTCTTCACTCTCAACTCCTTCTCCTTCAGCTGCCTTTATGAGTTTGAACTCGGAAGGCAAAGGAGTGACCACTTCCCGTTGTTCCTGCAGAGAGTACTTCTCAGCCAAGGTGTTGATGTACTGTCCCTGATGCAGTTTGAGCCAGCCACGTTCAGTATCCCGCTTAATGTGCATTCCCAGGTAGTACCTTGCCTCTCCAAGTGACTTGCACTTGAACTGCTCTGTGAGCTTCCGCTGCACCCCATCGATCTCCTTGTCACTGCTGCTGAAGAGCAGGATATCATACACGTACACCAGCAGAAGCACAAGCGACTCCCCCTCACCCATCAGGAAAAGGCTCTCGTCGCATGCACTCGCACGGAATCCAATCCCTTCCAGTGCACTGGCCAGCCTGTTGTACCAGCATCTCGGGGCCTGCTTGAAGCCATAGATGGCCTTGTTAAGTTTGCAGACACGACCGGTTCCATCCTCATAGCCAGGTGGTTGAACCAGGTACACCTCCACTTCCAAAATGCCGTACAGAAAAGCGGTTACGATGTCCATCTGCTTCACCTTCCATTTGCGCACAATAGTTACCGCCAGCAGAATACGTAGCGTTGGAGACTTAGCAGTTGGGGCAAACACTTCTTTGTAATTTTCCTTCTCTTTCTGCTGAAGCCCCTTTGCCACCAGCCTGCTCTTGTAAACTGATGGCTCTCCTTTCTTATCCGTCTTGATTTTTGCCAGCCACTTGCACTGTATTGCCTTCTTCCCATTTGGCAAGTACACGAGGTCCCATGTGTGATTCTCCATCTGGCTGTTGTACTCTGCATCTCTTGAAACGAGCCACTTCCCCCGTTGAGGCCCGGCTAGCGCATGATATTAGAAATAGACTGCAAATACTACTTTTGTATTTGTACTTTTATATCCTAGTTTAGGTTGTGAATGTTCTAGTGGGTTGGGGTGTACTCACAAATCCCAACCTCACCCAATTGTGATCCCCACAATCTCCAATTACCCAATTGGAGATTCCGGAGATCCCAATGAGGATTCCCTCCAATTCCCCCTTCATAAATTCCTTCTCACCTTGCCATGTACTTATAGAGCCTTGGGCTCCTTACCTAATCAATTATTTCAACTCTATTTCTTACATGGTATCAGAGCGACCTATCCGCACACGCGGATCAAGGTCCTAATCTCAATATGCCCGCGCTACGCGCACTTCATCGTCGCGACATTCATTCGAGTCGTCGGAATTTCGACGTGCTCCACTCTGCAGTCGTGCCTCTCATCGTCGACCACCTTCGTGCTCGACCTCGTTGAATTTTTCATCTCTGAAGTGTTCACGCTTCTCGTCGTCGATTTCCTCCTCGCTTCTCCTTGGTCGAATCTCAATTTCGACCATCTCTTAAAACTCGTTCTCGAGTTTCCCCTCAGACCCCGCCAGAATAGGCGAACTCCCCTCGCGAAATCACCTCCACGAACGTCTCGCGTCAAGCAAGAGCAGGTACACAGGTTGAAGCGGAGCGGAGCTGGTTGCGGAGCTGGTTGCGGAGCTGGTTGCGGAGCTGGTTGAGGAGCTGTGTAGCTGCGGGACAGGGCCTGGGGGTGTGAAGGGGGGTGTGTGGGTCCGGGGTTAGACAAAGGCTCAGATTCAGTTTCAAGTCGGCGTTTTAACGAATTTTTGCCGACGCCATTTCCTACTTAGCGGCATTTTGATAAAGCCGTCAGAGTGATTTTCAGCAATTCTCGTCGACCAATTTGCAGAAGTGCCGCGCTGCACACCGACAATGGCTTACTCAACCACTTCACTCGCCAACCCGATCCCGCTCCTTCGTCTCGAGCCGGACGGCACATGCTCCAACTACAAGGCTTGGCGCTATGGTGTCGACAAGCACCTCCTCAGTCGCGAGGTGAAGGGGCTGGAGCTCACCGACGTTCTTCTCAACATCGGTGACGGCAAAGAGCCTCCTAAACCCGAGAGGTCCGCCGATCCAGCTAATGCCGCCGCCGAAGCAGTTTATGCTGCTGCACTGCTCAAGTACAAGAATTGGGAGAAGGCCGATGGTGCGGTCATTAGTGTCTTCATGGGCACCACTCCTCCTGAACTCGTCGAAACCTACCACAACTACCCGTCTGCCAACGCCATTTGGCTCTACCTCGAGGATCGCTTCCTGAACAAGACTGCAGTGGGAGTTGCTATACTCATCCCCAGCATGTTCCAAGTGCGGCTCGAGGACTCGCCAAGCATGGCGGACTATGTCACCAAGGTGCAGTCCATTCATGGTGAACTCAAACAGTTGGGGATAGTCCTCCCCGAGCAAGCCCCTGCAACCGCTCTCCTAGTTGGCCTCACTCCGGCATACGAAGTCACACGCAAGATGCTCTTGGGCCTTGCTCCTGCAGACCTCACATTTGCCAAGGTCTCATCCGCGCTCCTTTCTGCCGAAAAGGACAACAGCGCTCAAGCCAAGGCCAATGCAATCCGCGCTCCCATGCCTCAAGCCTATGCCGCTTCGGCGCCATTCCAGCGCAACCGCTTCCCCCCGTGTCCCTACGTCATCAAGCGCGGCCCTCGTGCTGGCCAGGTGTGTGGCGGCACCAACCACGCCCTTGCCTCCTGCTTTAAGAAGAAGGATGACGAGTGGTATGCCGTCAATGGGACCGCCTCGAAGCCGCCAAGCTGGATGGTCAATCGTGCTCCTCGCCAAGTCAATCAAGTCGAAGCGCAGGAATCCGTGCAGGCTGCTGTAGCTCCCACTGCTGATGTGCGCCTCCACATGTTGTTCCCTGGCACTGCCATGATTAATGAGACAATTTCGCAGTGTCCTGGCTCACAAAGCACCTCAGCCACAATAGAGTTCACCCTTGACAGTGGGGCCACTCACACGGTTCTCAAGGAAGAACACTCCTTCAAGCCATACGAGACACCAATCCGTCTACTAGGAGCAGACTCCAGTTTCACAACACACGCCAAGGGCTCCTCCACAGTACCGTGCCCAGCTTTTCCTTCGGGCAGTATCACCGGCATGTGTGTTCCCACACTACGCCACAATCTCGTGGCCCAACACGAGCTCCAACGGGCAGGCGTCACCACGATCTTCCCAGCACACTCGGATCACTGCGACCTCTTCAACCCTAAGTCCAACAAGCTCCTAGCACGCTTCACACTCAACAGTAGCAAGCTCTACACGCTGCGTTCACCTGCACCTCTCGCCGCCCTCTCCCAAGTGCAAGCTGCCAGCACCACTCCATGTTCCTGTCGCAGCTTCGCCAACCCAACCATCCTCTACCACCATCGCTTGGGTCACCCCAACTTCCGTACACTTGGTCATCGGCCCATGAGGAGTCTGTGTATCCCTCGAGCTTGACTGGAGAGGTACCACCAAGAGTGAGGATGTGGGACTTGGTGGCTTGTAGATAGCGGAGGACCCTCTTGGCTGCAGACCAATGCGAGGCAGTGTAGCGTCCGGGGGAGACGTACCGAGAGAGGACACTAACCGGGTAAGCCAAGTCTGGTCGAGTGCACATCATGGCATACATGAGTGAACCGACTAGCTCAGGGTACGGGTCCTTGCAGGCGTCAGGAGAAGGAACAGGAGGGGCCGTGAGCTGATGCTATAGTGGGAGTGGAGTGGAGACAGAGTTACTGGAGTCCATGTCGAACCGCTTGAGAAGGTTGTCGATGTAGGACTCCTGGGAGAGGGTGATCGTGCAAGCCTGGCGGTCACGAGTGATCTCCATCCCCAGGTAGTTCTTGAGGTCACCAAGATTCTTCATGAGAAGGGCGGAGCTGAGAGCAGACTGGACAGCTGCCATGTCGGCTGGATCTCTGGCGGCTAGAATGAAGTCGTCGACGTAGACGAGGATGTAGAAGGGCTCGGAGGAGTGACAAACGAAGAGACTGGAATCTGAGGCAGAGGGATGGAAGTCAAGTGCGAGGAGGACTTCCTTCACCTTGTTGTGCCATTCACGAGGAGCCTGCTTGAGGCCATACACTGGGCGCTTCAGCTTCCACACTGTGTTGGCAGGGTAAGTGCCAGGAAACCCCGGTGGGCGTTCCATGTGAACATCCTCCTTGAGCTGGCCTTGGAGAAAGGTGGAGGAGGCATCCATGGACTTGATCTCGAAGTTGCCGCGAGCGGCTATATCAAGAAGAGCGCGCATAGTCGGGAGCTTGGCCGAGGGCGAGAATGTTTTGAAGAAGTCGAGATACTCATTCTGGGTGAAACCCTTCGCCACGTATCGTGCCTTGAACAGTGGAGCTTCGCCTGGGAGTTGTTTGACTCGGAAGATCCATTTTCCGCCGACGATGTTGACACCGGAAGGGGGAACAACATCGTCAAAGCTGTTGTTGCGAATGAACGCCTCGTTCTCCACATCCATTGCTGCCTTCCACTCCTTCTTATAAGGCCCCAAGAGAGCTTCCTCTTTTGTGCGAGGAGTCGGAATGGTCGGGTTCTCGGTGAAGTTGAGGGAAGGGCAGTCAGTAATGTCCGGGAAGATGTGAGAGAGAAATTGGCAGACCGCGTGAAGGTCAAACAGCTCCTCATGCCTGTCCTCCAGAAGTGCACGGTGGGGAATACGGATGGAGGGGACATCACCCCCGGCATGAGGAGGCGAGAATTGCTGAAAATGACTCTAACGGCTTTATCAAAATGCCGCTAAGCAGGAAATGGCGTCGGCGAAAATTCGTTAAAACGCCGACTTGAAATTGAATCTGAGCCTATGTCTAACCCCGGACCCACACACCCCCCCACACACCCCCAGGCCCTGTCCCGCAGCTACACAGCTTCGCAACCAGCTCCGCAACCAGCTCCGCTCCGCTTTAACCTGTGTACCTGCTCTTGCTTGACGCGAGACGTTCGTGGAGGCGATTTCGCGAGGGGAGTTCGCCTATTCTGGCGGGGTCTGAGGGGAAACTCGAGAACGAGTTTTAAGAGATGGTCGAAATTGAGATTCGACCAAGGAGAACCGAGGAGGAAATCGACGATGAGAAGCGTGAAAGCTTCAGAGATGAGAAATTCAACGAGGTCGAGCGCGAAGGCGGTCGACGATGAGAGGCGCGACTGCAGAGTGGAGCACGTCGAAATTCCAACGACTCGAAACGAATGTCGCGACGATGAAGTGCGCGTAGCGCGGGCACGTTGAGATTAGGAACTTGATCCGCGTGTGCGGATAGGTCGCTCTGATACCATGTAAGAAATGGAGTTGAAATGATTGATTAGGTAAGGAGCCCAAGTCTCTATAAGTACATGGCAAGGTGAGAGTGAATAGATGAAGGGGGAATTGGAGGGAATCCCCATTGGGATCTCCGGAATCTCCTATTGGGTAATTGGAGATTGTGGGGATCACAATTGGGTGAGGTTGGGATTTGTGAGTACACCCCAACCCACTACAACATTCATAACCTAAACTAGGACACCTGAGGCAAACTTGCCACCACGGTCTGAGTGAAGACGCAAGACAGGGAGACCTCGGTGGACACGCGCAGAGACAAGCCAGGGGATGAGAGCGACAGGCACGTCGGCCTTCCGCTCCAGGGGAAAGACTGTGGTGTAGCGTGTGAAGTCATCGACAAGCACTAGGAAGTAGCGCTCTCGACGCGGCCCATGGACGGAGGCGGGGCCCCAGACATCCATGTGCAGGGTCTGCAGCGGCGCGGCGGTAGGGGGAAACGAGGAGGAGTGAGGGGCACGGCGAAGCCGACCCTCGACACAAGGCGTGCAAGGAGGGGCGGGGGAGGAGGGAAAAGCGGGGAACGAGTCAGGGAGACCAAGGACGAGACCGTGCTGGGACATGTAACGCAGACGCGGG